TTATATAAATAAAATTGAATTGAATTGAATTGAATTGAATTGAATTCAAACAATCAAAGCTATCAGACGTGTAACGTGGCTGCTGACAGTCTGTATCTATGAAGCGCCTTGAGGCGACTTTTGTTGTGATTTGGCGCTATATAAATAAAATTGAATTGAATTGAATTGAATTGAATTAACTACAGCAATACTAATAAGTATGTGCAATTAGTAGCAAGTGCAATAAGTATATTAAGAATATAGTTGAATACATTCAGAAAGCAGCACAATACTAGTACAAGCACCGAAGTAAATGTACTCAGTTACATTCCCATTGGTACTGATCCGTGCTCTCATCCAATGTGGACTGTAAGATGAACAGTACTGTACCTCAATGTCTTTGGTGGGGTGGCGCTTGGGGGGGGAATCATTGCTCAGGAGGGCTGATCCTACTCCTACTCCTACTCTTTTTTAGATCCGCTGTTGTGCAAGCCTGAATAAAATTGAAACAGTTGAGTAATCAAACTAACAAAAGAAACCAAAAATTTAAAGCTGGCTGTAAACAAGCTGACTCGTTACCAGCACGTCGCCAAATCTTCAACCAAACCTTGTCTAAGTAAAAGCCTCATGACACAGTATCAGCACCAAACCTGACTGATGTTCAAATCCCTGCACCGTAGCTTCAAAGCATGATGGCGAACCCAGCCATACGAGCAGAGGCTGTTATAATAGATTAATGCCTTTGGTATAGGAAGCACATAATATAGCTGTTAATATAGTGTGTATTCAAAACTGGCCTCATTTGACTATAATCCTGGTTTGGTTTGATTCACCCTCCACTAAAACGCCCACTCTCTTTTTCTTTTCTCCCTCTAGCTCTTTATTCTCTCTCTCCTCTTCTTTCTCCCTCCTTCCTCTTCTTCTCTCCTCATTTCTCTCCATCTCTCCCACTCTCTTTCTTTCTTTCTATCTCCCTCGCTCTCCCTGTCGCTCCGGCTCTCCCTCTCTTACCCCTCCCCCATCTGTGGGAAGCTGCCGTTGTGCGCATGTCGCCGATGAGTCAAATTGTGGAGGCAGTGCATGCACACACACATACACACACACACATATCCTGTCTCCCACGAAGGCATCTGTTTCAGTCTGTCTCTCTGTGAGATGCAGCACCAACAGAGAGAGGGGGAGACAAGAAGAGGGAGAGAAGGATAAGAAAAAAGAGGTGTGAGAACAGAGGCACAGAGCAGAAAGAAAGGAGAAAGAGAAGAAGGGCTCAAATTAAAAAAAATTAAGAGTGAACAAAGATAAAGCAAAGACAAAATACAAAATACAAGACTCTTCTTCAGAAGAGGAGAGGATGCTGCTGCAGCTGAGCATCTATGCCTGACTTCTGAGGAGTTCTCAGCTCGGACATGACTGACATGCAGCATTCCTGCATCTGAGCATCTCTAGTCCGTGCATGTGTGTGAGAGAGAGAAAGTGAGGGTTAATGTGTGTGTGAAGCCATGGCGAGTGCTCAGCCGGGGGTCCACGCGTTGAAACTCCAACCTCCTTCCGTCTCTCACACGCTGAGGAACGGAAGCAACTTCATTAAATGGGATGAGGTAAGGACTGATTTTCCTCAAGCACAAGCAAATAGTTTGATTTAATTCTGCTACTTGAAAAAAAAA